ACATCAACAAAATGAAAAGGCAACCTACTGAATGGGAGAAAATATTTGCAAATCATGTATCTGATAAGAGATTAATATCTAAAATATATAAAGAGCTCATACAACTCAACAGTAAAAAACCCCAAACAATTCAATTAAAAAACTGGCAGAGGATCTGAATAGATATTTTTCCAAAGAGAACATACAGATGGCCAACAGGTACATGAAACGATGCTCAACATCACTAATTATCAGGGAAATACAAACCAAAACCACAATGAAATACCACCTCACACCTGTGAGAATGGCTATTATCAAAAAGACAAGAAATAATGAGTGTTGGCAAGGACATGGAGAAAAAGGAACTCTTGTGCAGTGTTGGTAGGAATGTAAATTGGCATAGCCACTATGGAAAACAGTATGGAGGTTCTTCAAAAAATTCAAAATAGATCTACCATACAATTCAATAATTCCACTTCTGGGTGTTTATCCAAAGAAAATGAAAATGCTAATTCAAAAAGATACACATATAGATATATACAATGGAACACTATTCAGCCATAAAGGAGAATGAAATATTGTTATTTGCGACAACAAGGAAGGACACTAAGGGCATTTTGCTAAGTGAAATTAGTCAGAGAAACACAAATACATACAATCTCGTGCATGTGTGGAATTTAAAAACAAAAACAACCAAGCTCACAGATAAAAAGAACAGACTGGTGGTCGCCAGAGGTGGTAGGTAGAGGGTGGGTAAAATGGGTAAAGGGGGTCAAAAGGTACAAACTTCCAGTTATAAAATAAATAAGTTATGGAGATATAATGTACAGCATGGTGACTATAGTAAATAATACTCTATTGCATACTTGAAAGTTGCTAAGAGAGTAAATCTTAAAAGTCCTCATCACAAGAAAAAAAATTTTTGTAACTATGTATGGTGGTAGATGCTAACTACTAGACTTACTGTGGTGATCATTTCACAATATATACAAATGACAAATCATTATGTTATATACCTGAAACTAATATAATGTTATATGTCAATTATAACTCAATTAAAAAATGATCCAACTATATGCTATTTATCACTTTAAATTCAAAGAAACAAATAAATGAAAAGTAAACAGATGGTAAAAGATAAATTATGCAAACAGCAACCACAAGAAAGCTGGAGTGACTGTGCTAGTATCAGACAAAATAGACTTTAAAGTAAAAAAAAAAGTTACTAGAAATAAAGGACATTTCATAATGATAAAGGGGTCGATCTATCAGGAAGATATAACAATGATAAATATCTATGCACCTAATAACAGAGCACCAAAATACATGAACCAACAACTGATATAACAGCAAAGAAGACAAAATTCCTCATGAAGCTTACGTTCCAAAGGGTAAGACACAAATAAACAAATAAATAGATAATATCAGTTAAACAGAAAAAGAAAAATCCTAAGACTGTTATTTTAAAGACAGTTGTCAAGTAAGGCCTCTCTGAGATCATGTTTGAGCAGACACCTGAACAAACTGAATGAGCCATGAAATATTTGGGAAAAGAATATTCTGAGGGGAAGGTGCCAGGTCCAGAACATCTTCAATGCACTGAGCTGGACAAACAGTAAGAAGTCTGATGGGTCCGTACTGAAGTGAGGAGAGGGGATGAGGTCAGAGAGCAGAGAAGGCCAAGAAAAAGTTGGAAAAAGGGGGAGCACTGGGAAGAGAGGCAAGAGAGAAGAGGTTGTTACCTCAGTAAATCCTGCAGGCCACAAAGCTAACATTGCATTGCCACAGTAAAGATCTGGTTGGGTTTAGTATTTAAGTTGCAGTTATTGCCAATTTAGGCTAATACTTGACTGAAGATTTTACACACAATATTTTTGGCCACCTCTGCTCCAAACAACAGAATGAATTTTCTTAAAGTGAGCTTAGTTTCTTTTGGTGATTCATGTTTGTACATAGATTCTGTGATCCCATTTCATACTGCATCATACAGGAACACTTTGTATAAATGAATTGCTTTTTGTTTTCATATTATTAGTAGTATCATGGTCCCATTACATGCCTATTAACTTCATAAATGTGTCATTAGTCTTTGAAAAAAATATGTAAATATGTATGTGTAACATGAGAATTTCTCTCCAAAGCGGGGCTTAAAGTATTTTGGAAAAGTTTGACAGAGTCTATCATGTGAATTCAGATTTACCTCCATGCCAAGAATTATGTTTAGATAGGAAAAAAGAAACTTGTTTTGATCTCAGATAGAAAAATAGATTGCTTTGGGTTTTATGTAGCTTTAGATTTTTAAAAAGCTAGAATTTAATCTGTTTAGCTAAGAGTGATTAGGAAAAAAAATTTTTTTGGAAAATTTTTTTTAAAATTCTAAATATGATAGTAAGTCACTAAAGAGCCGAGGCAAAAGATGGCTAAGACTGACTCATGTTTTAAAACAATTACGCTACCTGCTTCATGAAGAATAAAGAGACTGCAGGGGGGTGAGGAGAAGCCAGGAGGCCAACTAGGAAATTACTGCAGTTGTTCAGGCAGAACAAATACAGAGAAAATACAGTGGGCGGGACTAGGGTGGGAGCAGCAGAGTTGAAAAGTGGTCACAGATTCTGAATGTATTTTAAATGTAGATGAATTAGATGAAAAGTATCAGAAAGAAATGTCTACAATTATTGTAAGATTTTTTTGGCCCAGGTTAACTGGGTAAATAGTGGTGTCATGTGCTCAGAACTGGGATATTGGGGAGGAAAATATCGGGGGAGGGGTGTCACAAGTTCAGATTGGATCTGTTACATTTAAGATGCCAACCAGATACTCACGTGGAGACATACTGAAGGTAGGTGAATATACAAGTCTGCATTAAAGGGAAAGGTAAGGTTATTTCATTTAACCGTCTAAAAATCTAGTACGGTAAAGATTATTTTCTATATTTTATAGAAGAGACTAGAACACAGATAAATTATATGAGTTGTCTAATGCCACCTAATGTATAGAAGCAAAGTCTGGAGCCAGGGTTTGAAACAATCTGACACCAAAGCCAAAATTCTTTCTACCGTATCTCTTCCTCCTCACCACACACGTACCTTATATCTTCAATTCAAAGTTTAATGATAAACAAGACCCCCTTTGATTTGTGCCTGGGTCTTAATTTATAAAAGTGACAACAAGGAGAGGTCAATGCCACCAAAAGGAAAGTTTAATGTTATTCACCGTTTGGCCAGAAAGGAGAGAGGTACATCATGCCATGCCAGGCCAGGCCCCAGGAGGAGGTACCAGTGTCAGTCAGGAGGCACAAAAGAGCCAGGGGAAGGCAAAAGCCACAGCCTTTCTTAGGGTTTCCGCAGGAAAGGCAGGGCCGAGTAAACAGTTTAGGATTGGCCAGTTAAAATAATTCCAGCAGGCTTTGGGGCATAGGGGCTGTGCCTAGTTCCCTGTGACCTGGCCCTGGGTTGATTTAGGGGGAGGGAGGAATTGGCTTGAGGTGCAAAAATTAGATGGAGGTAGGTGGCTGGGGGTTGGTCTGCATATGAAAGGTATGTTCACAGGTCAAGGTGAATTAGCTATCTCTAGGAAGGACAGTTTCTTCCTGTCCAGGTAGGCCCCCAATGTGTCAAAATATAATAAAATATGGAAAATAAAAAATGATTAATATACTTTTCCAATCCAAATTTCAAATCCCTTCATTGCAAGTTTCCTGACTCCAGATCTCTTAGATAAGAATATCATAAGAAGCCCAACTACCTCAAATTCTTCTGTAAAAACAGTGGTACTTAAACATATACTCACACAAATGTAGGGTTGTTTAAAGCTTAACAGAAGACCAAAACAATCAGACAAACTGAATTCTGTAAAGTTGTGCATCAATAATTATCTATTACTTCTAGAATTCGGACAAAGGGAAAAGATACACAAATCAGACAGAAACATCAGAGCTTCAGCTCAAAAAACACCCAGTCCAGGGAATTTTGTGTAAGTAAAATACATTAGGAAAAAAGCAAGAAGATAATGTGCTTTGATTTTTAAAGAGTGGCTAGCCAAACAGACTGCGCCCCAGCTAGTTTGCCTAAAATAATGATCAACAACTTGTCTCACACCAACCCAGAAAATCTCACCTTTACAACCTGATCTGAGATCTGCTCTCAAAATGTTGAAGGAAGGCTTGCTGGCTGTATCCAATACAATTCAGCCCAGATGTTTTCAAGGGAATGGGAATTAGGTTGTATAATCTACATGTATTAAATTTCAGCATTCTATTCCATTTAGCCTGAGAAGATTCCAACTATTTTTCTTCACCGTGGAGGCAGGGACCTAAGTTTGGCTCAAAGAGGATCCTTTGTTTCAAACGCAGAACAGGCCCCCAGGAACAGAATCACCCAACAGGACACTGAAAACTGATCACACACCACTCCCTTCCCAGGCAAACCTCTGACTGACCCCATATATCCAGCTCCACGCAGATACCTACACCTGGTACCTTTCTTCCAGCATACACTCAGTTCGAGACGGTGACAAGAGACAGGAAAGGAAACCCGAGCCTCTCCAATGTAATCCTTTACCCCTCTCCGAGCTGAATTCCGCTCCCTCGCCTCCAGCCTGGGTGCGGACAACCCGGGATCCTGCTGGTCCAGACTCCCAGGCCCGAGCCAGCCTGCCTGGATCCCACCCGGCCGGATGCTCCTCAGACCCTGACCACCCCCGGAGAGGGAGGTGGTAGCAGGGTCCGCACACTGACAACCAGGGCGGCGCGCAAACCACGCACACAGGCACACATCCCTTGTCCGCGGAACGGGAGGCCGTGGCGGGTTCGAAGCGCTGCTTCCCGGGGCGGCTGTCAGGAGGGAGGGCTCAGGCTGAGGGGTCCCGCCAGGGCTTCGCCACCCAGCGCGATCTCACCTAGAGCGGCTCCGCCGCGGCCCTGCTGCAGCAGCACAACCTCCTGCTTTCCGATTGGCTCAGCCTCTGTCCCTCGCATATTCGCTTCCGGGTGAGAGGTGACTCGTCGCCCCGGCAACCGAGTCGCTCTCTGCGCGGAGTTAGCGCTTCTTTCCCTCAATGCCATAGAGCTGGCGGCCCAAGAGGAACTGCAGAGTCAAGAAAATATCTGCAACACACCTCTGTCGAGTGAGTGCCCCTCCTCCCAATGCCCCGAGCCGGAAAGTTCACCTCTAAGTAGAACTCGCATTAAGCCAGAGCGTGGACACTGGTAGCTCCTGTGTGGCTGTGACTTATTTCCTGATCGTCTACACTGGGGATGGCGTGGGGACACGGAGACCCCACCCCCACCCCGTCCTGGGAATCAGAACACCTGGATTCCAGCTCTGTTTCGGCCGTAGACTCGCTGTTGTGACATCTTAGGCAAATGCCATCCTCTCCAGATTTTTCCTCTACGGTGCCAAATGGTTTCCATCTCTTACATTCCCTCTCGCTCTAACATTACAAAGTTTCCAATGTGGAACCATTTAAGGGCATTCGAAAACAGTTTGGTTTTTCTGTATGATCAACTTAAGTACCCTGCTTAATAAGCATTTAAAGCCTGGGGCGCCTGGGTGGCTCAGTTGTTAAGCGTGTGCCTTCAGCTCAGGTCATGATCCCAGGGTCCTGGGATCAAGCCCCACATTGGGCTCCCTGCTCCTCGGGAAGCCTGCTTCTCCCTCTCCCACTCCCCCTGCTTGTGTTCCCTCTCTTGCTGTGTCTCTCTCTGTCAAATAAATAAATAAAATCTTTAAAAAAAAATAAGCATTCAAAGATTGCTTCCCAAGTGCCATTTATTCACTAGACATTCAGTTCCTACCTACAAGTACTAAGCACCTACCACTAAGTACTACTATGCTGGACACTAGAGTGGGAAAAAAAGATTTGACTAATCCCTGATCCTTGACCTAGACGAGCTGGGTATTGTGACTGGGGATTCCAGAACAAACGTGTTATTTTAACAGGGTTCTAAGTACTACAGTAGGGATCGGCCCAGGGTGCTGTGGAGACTCCTAGACGAGTCTGGGGGTGAGGGTGATATGAAAGGGTTTGCTCAGGTGATACTTGTCTTTTTCTTTGTGGCTTTTTCTGGGAAAAAATTGCAACTTTGTACTCCAGTTCACCAATTTACTTTTCAGTTGTATCCATTATGCTATTCAGTCATTACCCCAATTATGTTATTCATTTCCTAGATTGCTAATTGGTTCTTTTTCATAAGCACCTATTTCTGTCTCAAGGATACTATACTCTCCCTTTCTCTCTGAGGATGTTACAGTATTTTAAAGTCTTCTACCTACTGTGTTATGTTTCCTCAAAGGGGATGAGCCTCGGGTCTTTCTCGATTGGCACTTAATTTTTAAGTAAAAATGTCAGTTCTCTTGCCCCACCCATAGAGATTTTGTCAGTAGTTTAGGAACTTGCAGGCATCCCAAATAATTCTGAGGCACGAGCCACACTTTTGAGTAACATTCTGGTAGACTCTTTAGTCCCAGAAGTTAGAATCTACTTATCCTCTCTATATATGTTTTCTTTGGTATTGGAAAAAAATAATCTTTTTAAAAGATTTTATTTATTTATTTGACAGAGAGAGAGAGACAGCGAGAGAGGGAACACAAGCAGGGGGAGTGGGAGAGGGAGAAGCAGGCTTCCTGCCTAGCAGAGAGCCCGATGCGGGCTTGATTCCAGGACCCTGGGACCATGACCTGAGCCAAAGGCAGACACAACGACTGAGCCACCCAGGCGCCCCTGAAAAAAATAATTTCTGATGATTTGGTCTACTAAATGTCCCAGGGCTTTGAGGCATAGATTCCCCTCAGTGCTTTCTTTTGACCTGGTCTCCATTCCAATCTCATTCTGTTTAGACAGCCTTGCCCCTACCTCTCCCCACTATCATTTACTATCTTTATTTTCTATTCCCTCCTTCTGCCAATTCCTCACTTCACTTTACCTCTGTGAGGGCATCAATAGGTCACATAGGCTACCCAAGAGAAATAAAAACATATATCCACACAAAAACTTATACATGAATGTCCATAGCAACGTTCTTCATAACAGCCCAAATTGGAAACAACCCAGCTGTCCACCAATTGATGAATGGACAAACAAACTGTTATTTCTGTACAGTGGACTATTATTTGGTGATAAAAAGGGATGAAGTACTGCTACATGCTACAATATGGATGAACCTTAAGAACATTATGCTAAGTAAAAGAAGCCAATCATAAAGGACCACATACTGTGTGACTCTGTTTATAGGAAATGGCCAGAATAGGCAAATCTATAGAGACAGAAAGTAGGTTAGTGATTGCTAGGGGCTAGGGCTGGGCCTGGGGTGAGGTGGGGCTGGGCATAGAGAAGAGGTGGGAGTCGAAATTAGGGGAACGAAGACTAACTGCTAACATTCTAAAATTAGATTGTGGTGATAGTTGCATACCTCTTGATATGCTAAAAAAAACACTGAATTGTATACTTTTAAAGGGTAAGTTTTGTGGTATGTGAATTATATATTTATAAAGCTATTATAATAAATAAATAAAAATAGATCATCTAGACAAAGTTACTCATTTCCCCAGGACCCTACACTAGACAACGGAAATGCCAAGTAATCATGCTTGTAATCATATGAAGTGAGTCAGTTTGGGTAGCTCTTAAAGCACATACAATTATTTAAGTTTATGTGACTTTTCTTAAATCTTTTATAACAGCTGCTGAAGTGTATAAGATAAACTTTATATTTCCAAATGGAGACAAGTATGGTAAGCAAACATTTCAGTTACTTTTTCTATCTAGACTAAAATTAAATAGCTTAAGGGGTGGTTGAGGTGGAAAGAGCTGAGATGCCCTTCAACAGATGAATGGATAAAGAAGATGTGGTCCATATATACAATGGAATATTACTCAGCAATCAGAAAGGATGAATACCCAACTTTTACATCAACATGGATGGGACTGGAGGAGATTATGCTAAGTGAAATAAGTCAGTCAAGCAGAGAAAGTCAATTATCATATGGTTTCATTTATTTGTGGAACATAAGGAATAGCATGGAGGACACTAGGAGAAGGAAGGGAAAAATGAAGGGGGGAAATCGGAGCTAGAGATGAACCATGAGAGACTATGGACTCTGAGAAACAAACTGAGGGTTTTAGAGGGGAGGGGAGTAGGCGGATGGGTTAGCCTGGTGATGGGTATTAAGGAGGGCATGTACTGCATGGAGCACTGGGTGTTATATGAAAACAATGAATCGTGGATCACTACAGCAAAAACTAATGATGTATTGTATGGTGACTAACATAACATAATAAAATTAAATTAAAAAATAAAATGCCATTGTAAAATTAAAAAAAATGTAAAAAAAGAAAAAAATAGCTTAAGAGTAAAAAAAATGAAGGGCACCTGGGTGGCTCAGTCATTAAGCGTCTGCCTTTGGCTCAGGTCATGGTCCCAGGGTCCTGGGATCGAGCCCTGCATTGGGCTCCCTGCTCCTTGGGAAGCCTGCTTCTCCCTCCTTCTCTCGCTGTGTCTCTCTCTGTCAAATAAATAAATAAAATCTTTAAAAAAAAGAGTAAAAAAATGAGACTGTAAATTTTGTAAAACAACTATTGGGATATTAACTCCATTAAATAAAATGACATAGAAATACTAATAGATGGACAGATTTAAAATTTTATTTTTTTAAAGATTTTATTTATTTGACAGACACAGCGAGAGAGGGAACACAAGCAGGGGGAGTGGGAGAGGGAGAAGCAGGCTTCCCAAGGCACAGGGAGCCTGATGTGGGGCTTGATCCCAGGACCCTGGGATCATGACCTAAGCCTAAGGCAGACGCTTAACAACTGAGCCACCCAGGCGCCCGGACAGATTTTAAATTTAAACTCTAATGTTAAGTCTAGACAGTATGCCTTGGAAACCTATGTATGGGATCTGTCAGTCTTCCTGGCCAGTGTGTTTTAATGGTTACATGACCTTCTAAGGGGCGCCTGTCTGGCTCAGTTAGAAGAGCATACAACTCTTGATCTCGGGGTCGTTGAGTTCGAGCCCCATGATGGATGTAGAGGTTACTTAAATAAATAAATAAACTTAAAAACCAAAACAAGACTTCTAAGTCCATGGAGCTCCTTTATCTCTGCCTCATTGGTTTCAATGCTAGGGAGCCAAAGAGACCCATAGGGGTACAGTTATGATTAGTCCTGAACATACTTTATTACCTAGTCTAACAAGGTTCCCATTCATAATGGATTACAATATATTTCTCTCTTGTTTAGATGGAGACTGTACAAGAACATCTTCTGGAATCTTTGAGAGAAATGGAATAGGTATTCATACCACTCCTAATGGGATTGTCTACACAGGAAGCTGGAAAGATGACAAGGTATTGTTGTTGTAATATTGACAGTGGATAAGTAAGCCTATTGCTTAAATGGTTCCTGACATTTCACCATTAATGAAAAACACATGTGAGTAGACTATATAATAAACTGATATGAACATAGGAGTGATATTAAAGTCATACAGAGTTTGTCATCTTTTTTTTTTAAGTTTTATTTGTTTAAGTAATCTCTACACCCAACATGGGGCTCAAACTCACCCCCCTGCAAGATCAAGAATCACATGCTCCTCTGACCAAGCCAGCCAGGCCCCCTGTCATCTTTATTACCATCTTTCTCATCTCCTATTCACTGAGTAAAGCTAAATGCGTTACATAATTTACTCATCTAATCCTCACAGTACCTCATGAGGTAGGTACCATTAATGCTCCTATTTTACAAATGAAGGAAATCAGGCTCAGGTTTCTTGCCCAATGAGTGATGAAATCAGATGTGGATTCAGGTGTGCTTGAATACAAATTTTTATTCCTAACAACTTCTTTGCACTGTTTCCTGGGCTAACTAAATTGGTTGTCCTTTAAGATTTTTGGTATATTCAAGATGTCTTAAGGATCCTATTATCATCATCATGGACCCCCTAGATGTTCAAATGCCCCAGATTAGGAACATTTGACTTGGTGGGCTTCAGAGAGAGATGCATTTGAAGGACAATGATCAATGGTAAATGTTGTCTTATTTTTGTGGAAATAAAGTGTGATACAATGATAGATTAAATAATAACTAAGTGGATGATAGACATATATATACAGAAACTGAATGTTAATTACTGAGGTCATTTCCTTTGTTACAAACAGATGAATGGTTTTGGAAGGCTTGAGCATTTTTCAGGAGCAGTGTATGAAGGACACTTTAAGGACAATATGTTTCATGGATTGGGGACTTATACATTCCCAAATGGGGCAAAGTATACTGGAAACTTCAATGAAAATAGGTAGGCTTAAAATAAAAAGTCACTGTAGTTCTAAAAGGTTCTTTTCAGGCATTTTTGCTTAAATATTATATTTAGTTAATGCTAAATATTCTTTTGTAATACATTTCATTAAAATATATTTATAGTATATTTATTAAGAATTGTTGGATTAAGGGCACCTGGGTGGCTCAGTTGGTTAAGCGTCAGATTCTTGATTTCAGCTCAGGTCATGATCTCAGGGTCGTGAGTTCCAGCCCTGCATTGAGCTCTGAGCTGGGCGTGGAGGCTGCTTAAGATTCTTTCTCCCCCTCTGCACCTCCCACCACCTCTCTTCCTCCCTGTTAAAAAAAAAAAATTGTTGGGTTATTTTCGGGGAGAAATGTTATAAACAGAGGCTAAGACCATCATGAGCCTCCAAAAGAAAATATTCGTGTTGATAACCTATTAGACTTTTCATTTATTTCCTCTTATCTCTCCTATTGCTATAGAACTTTTTGTCATCAGCTTGGAAATGGAAAGCTTGTCACAATTACTGAGAAAATGTAGGCCAAAAATTATATATATCAGGATATAAGAAGTATATCCTGATAAGCTTTGTTTTTTCTTAATTTTAGAGAGGGAGGGAGGGGCAGAGGGAGAGGAAGAGGGAGAATCTTAAGCAGGTTCCACACCCAGCATGGAGCCCGATGCCAGGCTCAATCTCACATCCTTGAAGCCATGACCTGAGCCGAAATCAAGAGTTGGATGCTTAAACAACTGAGCCACCCAGGCACCCCATCCTGATAAATTTTTTTAAAAAGCAGCCTTGGGGGATAATTTCAAAATTGTTTATTGGATTTTGACCTGATATATGTGTGTATTTTTACTAAGCTAATTTTTAAAGTGTAAGCAAAATTAGTTAGTTTTCAAATTGTAGAAATGTACTCACTGTGGTCCTTTCTGAGCTTATGCTTGAAGGAAAAATAAACGTGAAATGAAATAAAAGCACACTTTTACAAGCTTAATCTTCACACTGAATACCATGCCATATAATCCAGAGGTTCATGTTCATTTACAAATATCCCTTTATTTCCAGAATTGAAGATACAACCTAATTGTTATGAAGTGGTTGATATAAATACATTTTGAGGAGGGGAGAAAAGTGTTCACCTTTTTTGACTCCCAAGTCTGTGCTGATAACGCAAACTTTTTCCACTGATGTTAATGAAAGGAAAAAATGTAACCCACGGCATAAGTCTGTTTGTTTATGTGAAGTACATTTTCACTACTCCCGAGAGTCCAAGAAAATCCCGCATAGAGCATAGCACCTCACACAGAGCTGATGGTCAATAAATATTTGTTGAATAAATGAATGAACTAATATGAACTTTTCATTTTTTAACTGATTGTTTTGGTTTTGTATAAACTGAGTGTATGTGATCCTAAAATCTTGGACACCAGAATTTGTATGATAACAATGTTTGTTTGGAATAGTAATGGTTTTGGTAGGATATGAAAGCAGGATGCTGAATTTTATTTTACTTTATTTCATTTCATTTTATTTTATTTTTAGGATGCTGAATTTTAAATCAAAGTTTGAAAGTGTAAAGATATAATTCTTCAGGCATAGAGTATAATATGCTAGACAATCTTATACCTGGACTGTAAATTCTTGGTCTTGGTTAATGAACAAATTTATTTTTCACTATTGCAGGGTGGAAGGTGAAGGACAATATACTGATACTCAAGGACTAGAATGGTGTGGTAACTTTCATTTTACTGCTGCTCCGGGCCTGAGACTAAAGCTCCACATGTAGTATATTCTGCATTAAAGTTTTAACGTGGTAACTGAAACTTTTAGGTATAAGGAAAACTTAGTCATCTGAAATATCTTCATATACTACCTCTATATCATAATTTTGCCAATAAAACCATCTCTCAACGTCTTTTTTGAACTTTATATTCATCATCTTATAATTAGTTTAAAATAAATTATGTGGGATGCCTGGGTGGCTCAGTCGGTTGAGTGTCCAACTCTTGATTTTGGCTTAGGTCATGATCTCAGGGTCATCAGATCAAGCCCGGCATCGGGCTCCGCTCTGTGTGTGGAGCCTGCTTAAGATTCTCTCTCCCTCTCCCTCTGCCTCTCTCTTTGCTCTCATGCACGCACTTTCTCTGTCTCTCTCAAATAAATCTTTTTAAAAAATTAAAATAGGGTGCCTGGGTGGCTCAGTTGGTTAAGCGACTGCCTTCAGCTCAGGTCATGATCCTGGAGTCCCAGGATTGAGTCCCGCATCGGGCTCCCTGCTCAGCAGGGAGTCTGCTTCTCCCTCTGACCCTCCCCCCTCTCGTGTGCTCTCTCTCTCTCTCTCATTCTCTCTCTCAAATAAATAAATAAAATCTTTAAAAAAAAATAAAAAATTAAAATAAATTATGTGATTCATTTTAATAAACACAGCAGAACTATCTAAATCTTGGCAAAGTCAATTTCCAATCCTGTGCCTGAGTTTTATCATCTTTAAAAAGCATATCTGTGTGTTAAAGGGAACTATCAAGGAAATGAAAAGAATCCACAGAATGGGAGAAAATATTTACCAATCATATATCTGATACAGATTTAGATTCCAGAGTATATAAAGAACTCATATGTAAATACATATAAATAAAAATACAACCCAAGGGGCACCTGGGTGGCTCAGTCAGTTAAGTGTCTGCCTTTGGCTCAGGTCATGATCCCAGGGTCCTGGGATCGAGCCCCGCATCGGGCTCCCTGCTGAGCAGCTTCTCCCTCTCCCACTCTCCCTGCTTGTGTTCCCTCTCTCACTGTGTCTCTCTCTGTCAAATAAATAAATAAAATCTTAAAAAAAATAAAAATAGGGGCGCCTGGGTGGCTCAGTCGTTGAGCGTCTGCCTTCGGCTCAGGTCATGATCCCAGGGTCCTGGGATCGAGCCCCACATCGGGAAGCCTGCTTCTCCCTCTCCCACTCCACCTGCTTGTGTTCCCTCTCTCGCTGTGTCTCTGTCAATAAATAAATAAAATCTTTAAAAATAAAAAAATAAAAAAAATAAAAATACAACCCAATTAAAAAATGGACAAATGATTTGAATAGACATGTCTTCAAAGAAGATATGCAAATGTCTAATAAGCAAATGAAATCATTACTCTTTAGGAAAATGCAAATTAAACCCACAATAAGATAGCACTTCACAATCACTCAGAGGCTATATTAAAAAAGACAGACAATAACAAAGATTGGCAATGGTAGGGAGAAATTGGAAACTGCCAACATTTCTGGTGGGAATATAAAATGGTAGAGCTGCTATGGAACAGTTTTTCAAAAAGTTAGACATACAGTTACTATATGACCCAGCAATTCCTAACTATGTCCCCCAAATAAATCGACCTGTATGGGAATTATTCAAAACAGCTCAATATTGGAAACAACCCAAATGTCCATCAACTGATGAATGAATAAACAAAATGTGGTATATCCATATAAAGGAATATTTTCAGCCATAAAAAGGAATAAAATACTGACACATGCTACAACATGAATGAACCTTGAAAACATTATACTAAGTGAAGGGAGCTGGTCGCAAAAAGCCACATATTGTACGTGAAATGTCCAGAATAGGCAAATCCATAGAGATAGGGAGTAGTTGCTATGGGAAGAAGGAAGTGGGAGGCATGGGGTTTCTTTTTGGGGTGACGGAAATATTCTAGAATTAGTGGTGATGGTTGCACAACCTCGTGAATACTAGAAACCATTGAACTATTCACAATAAAAGGGCAATTTTTATGTGTGGTATGTGAATTATATTTCATTTTTTAAAAAAGTAGATCTATGTGTCCTCACCTATTCTATGCCAAGGAAGCTTTTTTACCTTTTAGATAATACAGTTTAAAAATTACCAGAAGGGCGCCTGGGTGGCTCAGTCGTTAAGCATCTGCCTTCGGCTCAGGTCATGATCCTAGGGTCCTGGGATCGAGTCCCACATCGGGCTCCCTGCTCAGTGGGAAGCCTGCTTCTCCCTCTCCCACTCCCCCTGCTTGTGTTCCTGCTCTCACTGTCTCTCTCTGTCAAATAAATAAATCAAATCTTTAAAAAAAATAAAAATAAATAAATAAATAAAAATAAAAATTACCAGAAGAGTGGGCGCCTGGGTGGCTCAGTTGGTTGGGCAACTGTCTGCGGCTCAGGTCATGATCCTGGAGTCCCGGGATCGAGTTCCACATCGGGCTCCCTGCTCAGCTGGGAGTCTGCTTCTCCCTCTGACCCTCCCCCATCTCGTGCTCTCGCTCTCTCATTCTCTCTCTCAAATAAATAAATAAAATTTTTTTTAAAGATTTTATTTATTTATTCATGAGACACAGAGAGAGAGAGAGAGAGAGAGGCAGAGAAGCAGGCTCCCAAGGAGCAGGGAGCCCGATGCGGGCCTCGATCCCACGACCCTGGGATCATGACCTGAGCCGAAGGCAGACGCTTAACCATCTGAGCCACCCAGGCGCCCAAATAAATAAAATCTTAAAAAAAATTACCAGAAGAGTACATGACAGCTACATATTAAAAATTACAATAAAGACCTGAGTGTTTGCTGGAACTATTCTTCTGAAAATGACCAAAAAGTGCTATAAACAGTAACTTTAATATCATATTTCTTCATTCAAAATCTTGTGGAAATTTGTACTTCTCAAATTTTTAAAAATTTCTGTTGTACTACTGTAAATCTGGGTTGAAATGTCTTTTAAAGTAGAACCAAAAATGGTATTTTTGTTAGTTTCCCATAATCATAGATTATGTATTTAATTTCAAAAGACCCTATTTTTAACTGTCCAAAGATACATTTTTAAAATTAGACACTTTTGGATTTGTTGGTTAGCGCTAATTGGTATGTTTTAGGATTAAATATTATTGTACTAGAATTTATACAAATTAAGATAAATCGAGAGGATATTTTTAGGGACCAGGACATATAATGCAATTTCAAAACTTCTGGAAAATATAGAAAAATATTTGTTTTACTGCAAACTAAATTTTTCCCAATATTTTTCTTCAAAATATCTAAGGTAAAAAGATACTTTCCTTTTAAAATCTTTAGCTTTTTATTGATACATAAATAACTTTTTAATGCTAAAGTTTCCGGTTTTCTATGATAACAAAGTCATTCCTTTTAAATAGTTTTCTTTCTCTTACTCCTTGAAAGTAAATCCAGTTCAGTTGATTAGTTGATGCTAGAATTTGACCTGAAGCTTATATAATTAGAAGAGACACTAGTTTTCCTCATTTAAAAGCCTAGTTAGCATATGACAATCTCGTTTCCAGGGAAGTCAAACCTCTCCTGCTTTTTTTTTTTTATAACCTTTAAATTAATTTAGAATCCAGATAAGCCTTGATCTGAGGATGATATAACCTCAGCAAGCAACATGGGGTAAGTGTGTGCTTTTATGTGCTTTGAAAGGCATTGACAGGGGAAATATTTTCATAAAAGAAGAAATCCCATATATGCTTACTAATTTAGATTCAAACCATGCTGACATTTATTTAAGGTAGCCATTTAAAGAAATAGCTATTTAAAAGTTATAACAATTTGTACAATATTTATTTTCTTGCTTAATTTTTTAATTTTATCATAATCTGCCTTAATGAAATGTTTGGAGACTGAAGAGTGTTGGATATTTACGTATTAATTTGAAGTGGAATTACACTTTGAGAGCAATCTTAAAGAAAAGATGACAAGTTTCTTGATTTACAAGGCAGATAAATCCAACATGTATGTGCCTCTTTGGGATTAAGAATAAAGAATAAAAATTAGGAATGCCTTTTGTAACACAGAAAAGGGACAGAGGATTCTATCAGAGTTCACTCTGCTATGTATAGAATAATGCGTGCTGATTAATTACATGGGGACATTAGTGAAACTTAATTCTAAACTCTTTGTGGGGTTTTGGAGCATGATGAGAAGAATCGGGTTTCACCTGAAAGCTTTCTATCCTTTACTTAAGCAAGAATAGCATTCCATTATAAGTAGTATTGGAATTATATGGGTTTTTATATGTTGAAACTAGTATTCTGAAAATATAGAAATATGTCTTTTTATTACCCTTTGTCTTTTTAAATAGCTCCTTTCAATACAAAATTGTATTACTGTAAATGGTATAGCCATTTCATTGAAAGTATGTCTGAAGGATTTAACACCAATGGTCAGAAATTTATCCTAGAAAAATAAATTTTTGACACGTTTATTCTAAACAGTTTCCTTGAATTTAATTAACATCTACATTTTTATTAATACCATGGGCTCTGAAAATGCCATCTAAACCAGTTTGAAACCCCAGAGGCTTTGAAAGGAAGATGATCATACTATTGTTAACTTTTAATACAAATACAATATAAAAGTCAACAGATAAATACCTTGTACAAATTTCATAAACATTTGATTTGATTTGGGACAGAACTGATGAGACTCCTGGTTCCTCTTTATTCCCCCTTCTTCCTTTTCTCTCTTCTCTGTATATAAGAGTGAATATCAATATAGCAGTAAACTAGTAAGCTCCAAGCAATGGGCACACAAAAAGGCTTCCTTCCTCTCTGAAAAAAGAATTGTAAAATCAAACAATGTCAGGTGATTTACAGATGGTCTGAATTTTAATCTATGGACCCCAGATTAAGAACCTTCTGATTTTGAGTTTAGGGACTGGAGTATGAGTTGCTCAATATTTTTCTCAGCTTTTGGATTTTTTATAAAATGTAAGAATACTTAATAATTCCTGCTAATCTTCTCTCAGGGACAATGCTGAAAGTACTGATTCTCCCACTGACCATCTCCCAACACACACACACACACACACACACAAACACACACACACACACACCATGAAAATGAAGCACAGTTTGATCAATATCCATAGTTTGACAATCACATTACTGATGCTTGTCCCCAGTGA